AGGAAAGTTGAGAAGTGGAGTATGAAGTGGGTTTGTTTGAAGATGTTGAGCGGTGGTTGTTTAGTGATTACGGTGATCGCCGGAGTTGGGTCAGTAGCCGGAGTCATGCTTGACCTTAAGGTTTACAAGCCGTTCAAGACTACTTATTAAACAAAACCATGATGGTGATATATGATGAAGAAAAAATAGTTGGAGGGAAGAAACAAAAGGTTATATACAAAATTTGATGGCTAAAATTAATATGTTTCATTTCATTTGATGAAATGTGAATAATGTATTAAGCTTATTTAGTTTTTGTGTAATTCTATCTTGCGTTATTCACATTTTATCAATGTTGTGAATTTATATAATTGATGTGTTGTTTACTGGAAGTTTGTTAAATCTCTTTAATTTATTGTTAAACCATATATGGATTAAAATAAATAAATTAGTGAGTCTTTATAAATAACAGAGGTTTACCTATCAAATAGATTAGAGAAATTTTAACCTTGAATAAGATATATAGATTTGAACACACATTTAAAATTACAAAGGCCGGTGATATTTTAGAAGTAATAAACATTTCATTTTTTCATACATTTTCAAATAACGTTGGAATGGAAACTTGTGGAGGAGACACGAAGAATCTTTCAGAAAGTTTACAAGATGTGACATGGAACTAACAAAAGAAGGTAGTAACATGGCATCGAATCTAGGTGACATGTCAATTTGGAATAACTGAGAAAGTAACCCGACACATAAAGAGAAACACTTGAAAGCAATTTGGATGGTCTTGCTTTGAAGAGAATATCACCCCAAATTAGAAAATTTTCAACTATGCACTACTATACAATACTATATAGCCAAGTAGGTTTAACGGATAATACATATTAATATATTATTAATCTCTCAACCTTGGTCCAAAAAGAATATTATTAGATACTCTTTAGCTTTCGGATTGCTTAGAACATGCATGTATGTACGTGAGTGTAGAGAACATGGAACGTGAAACATGCATGTGTGTACGTAAGTGTGCCTAAAAGGCTAAAAACTTATCTTGAAATTGTAAACTAGAATGACAAAGTTTCATTTAGTTTGATATTGATTTATAATTTTATAAATTGCCAGCTTTCAATTTTTGAATGGTATTTTCAGTGGTCATCAAAGCCAACGACCATCGACAGTCGATAAAATTAAATATCCAAGAAGAATCGAGGAATTTCCCACATTTCAGAATTTCTTAGTTTTCTAAATATTCCAAAAACCAATTGATCACTATCATCTCATCTACTATATAACGTTTTAATATAAAATGCGATAAAAATGTTAAAAAGCATACTATATCTTAAGCCGGGTCACATTATACGTTCATAAAAGAATCGACTTTCATACTAAGTAATAATATCACTCCAAATGTCACAACTTTACACTACTAAAAACCAAATTAAAGACTTTTAAAACCCTAGTAAGTTTATGAAACAATACCAATAAATCACCGATCCAACAAAGAAATCAAACTCACTAATAATAAAGGCCAGAACTTTCTACTACTACACACCAACGTAAAGCCATTTTAACATACATGGGCCATAAGTGGGCTTTATATAGAGCCTTCTTAACAAGTAATTCGTTTAAAATATATCTGTTTCGAAAGACACAAAAACCGCCAAAAAGAAAGTATATAATCTCATCAACGTCTTCTTCTTCCTCTTATCTTGTTCTTCCTCTTTTCTCTCTCGTTTCTACTGCAAATTTGGGTTTCTTCTACTGTTTCTGAGCTTTGCGTTTCCGTTTCTATCTATCTCTCTACTCCGTGATCAGTCTCTTGCTGGGTTTTGCTGCTTCTTCTTCTTCCGTAAGATCAATATCTCCTCTGTTTCTTGAACTGTTTCGAAACTTCTTTTGATTATCGTAGCTTATTCTTCCAGTTTTTCTTAACTCTTTTTGATGATTTCACGTAATGTGTTTCCTTTGTGATTGTTGTTCCTTCCGATTACTCTGTTTTGCTTTGATATTGGCCATTGAGATATCTTGATTACATCAAATACTAGTTTTTTCTTTTATCGAAACGCGTCAATGGTTTACTGACTCTCGTTTTGATTCAATCGTTTACCTGTGAAAAGTTTCCATATTTCATCTCAATTCTCGAGGTTTTGATCATGTACAAAGAGATGCTCTGTTTTTTTCGAGATGTTTTGCTTCGATATTGGCCATTGAGCTATCTTGATTTCATGATTTCCTCGATTACTAGTTTTCTTTTTCTCACCTATTCAAGGGCTTACTGATTTTACTTTGATTGATCATTCACCTGTGAAAAGTTTCCATCTTTCATCTCAATTCTCGAGTTCTAATCATGTACAAAGAGATGCTCTGTTTCAGAGTGCTCTGTTTTTTTCGAGATCTTTGCGTTTCTATCTCTGTAATCCGTAAGATTCAATCTCTCTTCTGTTTCTTGAACTGTTTAGCAACTTCTTTTAATTATCGTAGCCTATTCTCCTCCCATTTTTTTTTTCATTCTTTTTGATGGTTTCACGTAATGAATTTCCTTTGTATATCGATTGCTCTGTTTCTCGAGATGTTTTGCTTTGATATTGGCCATTGAGATATATATATATATCTATGCTATCAGGCTCAATCATGGACAAGAAAGAACTTTTGGATCAGTTTTCGAAGCTACAAGAGTCATTCATCAACCACGATTTCAAGAAATGGGTTGATATGTGGCCAAAATTTGAAAAGGAAAATTCTTAACCCCTTGTTATTGATTTTGCATGTGTTGTTTTGTAGTGTGATCATAATAACAATTCCTTTTTTAAAAAAAGAAAAAAGTCGTCTTCCTCTCCCTTCTCTCTAGGCTCCGACTCTCTCTGCTCTCTCGTCTGCTCCGTCGGTTGGAGGCGCCGGCCACCGCGCCGGTGAGCGTGAGCTCCGCCGACGGAGGCCTCTCTCCCCCTTACCTTGTTTTCTGATTTGCTTTGTCGCCTTCTTCTCTTCTTCCGCCGGCTTGGTTGTCTTTGTGGAAGATTCTTTGCTTCTGGATCGCCTGGTTCCGGCAGTGGGTGCGTCTTCTGGAGAGGCATCACGGCGGGGTTGGCTGGTATGTGTTCAGAGTCGGCTTTTAAGGTTCGTCGCTGCCGGATCTCGTTTTCAATTTTGTAGATCTAGTCGGCGTGCGTGGTGTTGTCGGCGCGTGAGGTCGGGTGAGTCTCTCTCCTTGTTCTTA